ATTACTATATATAAGTATCCTGTGACTATATATAAGTATCCTGTGACTATATATAAGTATCCTGTGACTATATATAAGTATATTGTGACTATATATAAGTATACTGTGACTATATATAANTATAAATATACTGTGACTATATATAAGTATATTGCGACTATATATAAGTATACTGTTACTATATATAAGTATACTGTGACTATATATAAGTATATTGTGTAACTATTGTTTGAACAGGTGGACAAGGTTTCCCTACAGAACCAGACACTTACCAGCCTCCACCACAGCCCCAGTCTACAGACTATGGAGCGCTGGTACAGCAGGCCCCAGGGGGTTATGGGGGTGATGGGGGTGATGGTGGCGGTGACGACAGGGACAGTGAGGGAGACGATGAAGATGATGAGGAGATGGAAGACGTGGGTGAAGGAGAATCGGAGGGAAGTGATGAAGAAGGAGATATGGTGGTGCTTGACCCAGACCATGTAAGTCTACTGTACCATGTTCAACAGTGTAGCGACTAGTTCAAAAGGAAAGCAACAACATTATCAGCTTTGTAAAACTTTCTTCTTGACAAAACTTTTTTTTAAGATAGGGTCCAGTTCTTCATACTGTGACAGGATGGTTGTATTGTGATAGCCTGAACCTGATTTATTGTAACTGATAATAAAAAAATCACTGCTTTTGCTAAAAAGATTTCCAATTTCTTATATTTCAGCCATTGATGAAAAGATTCCAGAATGCTTTGAAATCACATCTCAACAACCAGAATGAAAAAGTATCACTGGAGCTGAGGGAGCTGGTGAGTAGACTGTCAGCACTGTCTGTATATGACTGTTGAGTAGACTGTGTCAGCACTGACTGTATATGACTGGTTAGTAGACTGTCAGCACTGTCTGTATATGACTGGTGAGTAGAGTGTGTCAGCGCTGACTGTATATGACTGGTGAGTAGACTGTGTCAGCACTGGCTGTATATGACTGGTGAGTAGACTGTGTCAGCACTGGCTGTATATGACTGGTGAGTAGACTGTGTCAGCACTGACTGTATATGAGTGGTGAGTAGACTGTGTCAGCACTGTTTGTATATGACCAGTGAGTAGACTGTGTCAGCACTGTCTGTATATTTATGACTGGTGAGTAAACTGTGTCAGCACTGTCCGTATATGACAAGTGAGAAGACTGTGTCAGCACTGTATGTATTTGACTTTTGAGTAGACTGTGTCAGCACTGTCAGTATATGACTGGTGAGTAGACTGTCAGCACTGTCTGTATGTGACTGGTGAGTAGACTGTCAGCACTGTCTGTATGTGACTGGTGAGTAGACTGTCAGCACTGTCTGTATGTGACTGGTGAGTAGACTGTCAGCACTGTCTGTATATGACTGGTGAGTAGAGTGTGTCAGCGCTGACTGTATATGACTGGTGAGTAGACTGTGTCAGCACTGACTGTATATGACTGGTTAGTAGACTGTCAGCACTGTCTGTATATGACTGGTGAGTAGACTGTGTCAGCACTGTTTGTATATGACCAGTGAGTAGACTGTGTCAGCACTGACTGTATATGAGTGGTGAGTAGACTGTGTCAGCACTGTTTGTATATGACCAGTGAGTAGACTGTGTCAGCACTGACTGTATATGAGTGGTGAGTAGACTGTGTCAGCACTGTTTGTATATGACCAGTGAGTAGACTGTGTCAGCACTGTCTGTATATGACTAGTGAGTAGACTGTGTCAGCACTGTCTGTATATTTATGACTGGTGAGTAAACTGTGTCAGCACTGTCCGTATATGACAAGTGAGAAGACTGTGTCAGCACTGTCTGTATATGACTGGTGAGTAGACTGTGTCAGCACTGTCTGTATAATTATGACTGGTGAGTAAACTGTGTCAGCACTGTCTGTATATGACAAGTGAGAAGACTGTGTCAGCACTGTCTGTATTTGACTTTTGAGTAGACTGTGTCAGCACTGTCTGTATATGACTGGTGAGTAGACTTTCAGCACTGTCTGTATATGACTTTTGAGTAGACTGTGTCAGCACTGTCTGTATATGACTTTTGAGTAGACTGTGTCAGCACTGTCTGTATATGACCAGTGAGTAGACTGTGTCAGCACTGTCTGTATATGACTTTTGAGTAGACTGTCAGCACTGTCGGTATATGACTGGTGAGTAGACTGTGTCAGCACTGTCTGTATTTGACTGGTGAGTAGACAGTGTCAGCACTGTCTGTATATGACTGGTGAGTAGACTGTGTCAGCACTGTCTGTATATGACTTTTGAGTAGACTGTGTCAGCACTGTCTGTATATGACCAGTGAGTAGACTGTGTCAGCACTGTCTGTACTTGACTTGTGAGTAGACTGTGTCAGCACTGTCTGTATATGACTGGTGAGTAGACTGTGATTTATCTAAAGCCAAGGTCATTGGGCATGATTTATCTAAAGCCAAGGTCAATTGTGGAATGATTTATCTAAAGCCAAGGTCATTGTGGCATGATTTATCTTAAGCCAAGGTCATTATGCATGATTTATCTAAAGCCAAGGTCATTGTTGCATGATTTATCTAAAGCCAAGGTCATTATGCATGATTTATCTAAAGCCAAGGTCATCGTGGCATGATTTATCTAAAGCCAAGGTCATCATGGCATGATTTATCTAAAGGTTATTTAACATGCCTTTTTTTTGTATCCTACCATCAAAGCAATCAATCAAGTTCTGTCAAAATAAATAGAACAGTCTAAAGAACTTGAAAAACATTTCACAAGCTTTGCCACTTCCTAATATAATAACTGTGCTTCATGTGTTGGATAGAAGGCCCTGTCTGTGTATAATGTGTTGGGTAGGAGGCCCTGTCTGTGTATAATGT